TGTTGCACCTGCTGCAACAGCTGATGGTAATGTTGCTGCATCTGTTGCATCATCATTGTCATCATTTGAGTGATTGTTGGGTTCTCGGGCGGTGGAGATGAACTGCTGCCAGATGCACCACTGGTATGTGCTCCATTGATCTGCTCTTCGCTGCCACTGGCGTCGTTGGAGTCACGAGGATCATTCCTTGTCTTCACCATCTGGAGGGGGATAGGTAGAAATAAGAGAAAAGAAAGAAAAACAGATGGCTTAGAAACTAATCTTTTTTATAAATTTAAGTGCAATTATCTTAATCTTGATTAAAACACTGAAAAGGAAGCAAACAACTCCTAATTAAGGCAGCCATACCACTCACACATGATATCGACCGCCGACTAACCCACAAGCAACAGGCCTAAACACGGAAACTAGCAAGCAACAAAACTAAGAAAACGATAAAGCTAAAGGCGGCGACCCTGAAGCTTAGAGCGACGCTTGCGATCGGAGAACAGGTATGACATCTAAAGTAGACAAGGGATAGGAACCAATGCATGCTCATATCCAAATTAAACAAACCAACAAATGACTCAAGTAACTAGCAAAGCATGGTGGTTTTTATGCATGGAACATTTTTCATGAGCCCAAACAAAGATACTAATGCAACTGACTAAACAATAAATTAATGCACAAAATAGATGCATAAATATAATGAGATGCATAAAATTGCCCCATCAAATCTAGACACGACTTGCGCAGTCAATCACTCCCTTGTGTCTGGTCTTTCGATTCGAGAAGGATGAGGTTGGCTAGAAACGGTGATCTTTTGATCTCTATAGTCACTGAGGGGCAGTAGTGTGCTGTGTTCATGTCATTACCAGGGGTATGAACCCGCATCAGTATTTTAAGTTCCACTACCGATAATCCATGTGCCCCAGCAAACTTCTTGGAAATGAAAGAATGCATTACACCTGAATAAAAAAGAACAGTTTCAAGGATTGAGTTCACCGGAAACGTGCCCAGTACGACCTCTGGCGCTGCATGTGCCTCCTCTGCAGACGCATGATTGACGTGGGCCTGGACGAACCTAGGTCCAGCGCGCTTTGGCTTCGGACACTTGCCAGCAAAGTGGCTGTGCTTGCCACAGTTGAAGCAGGGTCTTGGCTTTCCTCCAGACTCCTTCTTCGGCTGTTCTGATTGAGTTGGCATCGTTGGCGGATCTGATTGAGCTGGTGCCATTAGTGAGGGTGGAGTTGAGTTGTGGTGGTGCTGCCCACTGCTGTTGTGGCCGACGTTGTTGTAGTCGTTGTTGAAGTTGCTCGGGTGGTAAGGACGGTGCTGACGGACGATCAGGGTGGAAGGCCCACCCTGCTGTCCCGTCATGAAACGAGGCAATTATCAAACTATTATTTTTTTAAGTATAGCTAGTATTTTTCATAACATATTATAAATAATATTAAAAAAATAAATATGTTTTTAATTGTTATTTAGAGAAGAGTGCACGGCGACTCTATTTTATGTAGACTTGACCATGCGAGGCAGTGTAGGATTTGGTTAATCATATTCCTGGTTGCAAGAATGAGATTGAAAGAGTATTTTAGATTATATGTATGTTGCCACATGAATAATCCAGTTTTTTTGGGTAATGCAAGCATATGTAAGGTTGCCATCGTCGAGGTTGGGCCATTACATCGAAGATGTTTCAATTTTCCTTATGATTGTCTTAGCTACAGCGATTCATACAAACATTATGATTGATATGGTTATATATGAAAAGCGTATATTGTTATTGCATTTTTTTTCACCCGTTACAATGCACGGTCATTTTTGCTAGTTACTTAACAAAACCCCAGATTTCATATATCAAAGAAAAAACACATACAGAAGCAATAGTTGAACAACAATAGATGGGCTGTGGATAAGAAGGAGCAGTGCGCACGAGCAGTCTGTAGCCGAGTCGAGCAGAACGCCAATCTCTGCTCCTCCTGCCATTCCTCACTCCCAGCAGGTGAGCTCCGCAACAGGCGGTTGCAACCTCCCGCGCCTCCCACTGTGCGCAGGCGGCGGCGACCTCCCATGCCTCTCTCCATGCCCGGCGACGACCTCCGGCGCCCCACACGGTGAGCCCAACGCCTCCCTCCCCACCAGGCGGCCGCAACCTCCGAAGCCTCGCTTTGTGCCTAGCGACGACCTCCCACACCCCACATCGGGCGGCCCGAGCTGGCGCCACTGCAGATCCCTCCCTTCACCACCCCCCCCCCCCCCCGGTGTTGCCGCTGTCACTCCCTCCCTCCGCGAGTTGGTGCTAGCGCGGATCCCCTTCCTTCGCGACCCGCCACCGCCGCCACTCCCCTCCGTACGTTGCCACCGCCACTAGCCGAGAGAGAGGATACGAGAGATGAATAGATAGGGTTGCTTCAAGGGTATTATGGTCATTATGAAAAGTTATTATATTTCTTTTCTTTTTGAAAAGTAGGATCAAATAAGCAATCTAAAAAAGTACGATCAGATTAGTAGTTAGGTTTCGAAATAGGGCCTAATAAGCATTTATCCCACATATATAAATATACTAGAAAATATGCCCGTGAGTTGCAACGGGTAGAGCCAATTTAATTGTACATATATGTCGGTGGATAAATAAACACTTCTCATTGTTTCATTTAATCATGTGCTTGTCTGAATCTCTTATTACCGAATAAAAGACTATTTGTATGCAAATCTTTTATATACATGTTCTTAGTGACTCAAAAGCAAATGTTGTAAAATAAAGTATGATAAAAAAACAAAAAGTTGAATTCAAAATTAAGTTCTAAAATTTAAAATTTGATTTATAGGAATAAGCATAAGCCACACAATGAGGCCTTCAATCACGAGCTCGATTTGTCGTCTAGCTTTATCTCAAGTCGGGTAGGAATTGATGAGAACGGAATTAGCAACTTCGATCATCCTTTATTTCAGTTGGCATGTTCTTTTTGAAAGTAAAACCGATTCTTATGGATTATTGTAATGGTATCCCTAGTAGTGCGTACGAGCATGTGTTGAGACTAACTTGAAATCATGTTAACACATGTCCTAGGAATCATGCCGTGTAACACGAATAGAATCGGATAATGACGTACGTGATATCCACACGGACTCTACGAGTTTCATTCGCTTGGTATCCACATCACACGGACTCTCATTCACAGTTCGCTCGCAAGTCGTGACTTCGCAATGAATGTTGCGCGTGAGGGAATCGGATACGGGCGACGCACCATAGTTTTGACAAAAAAACATCTTCAATTTTTAAATCACGGGTGAGGACGACGTATTCCCAATCGGGCATGCGGCAAGGGCAAATCCCACGTGTGAGGGTGTCGCGGGTCCAACTGGGCATGCGGACAATCACACGCGCGAGGGCGTTGCGGGCCCAATCGCGGCGGTGCGTAAAGGCGTGTGTGGAATACGGACTCAGGCGCGGGCCCGATCGCTGCGTGCGGCAAGGGGCGTGTGAAAAGGTGTGGGCCTCACTAATTCGTGCGCGTCTCGGATAAGAGAGACACTATGAGGTAAGAGAAAAAAGGAACGGATTTGACAGAAACATAAAATTAAAACCAATTCAAACACCGATGACGTACCAAAATTCTAGGGAAACATCTTTAATTTTTATATATACTAGAAAAAATACGCGTGCGTTGCACGGGCGAATGCTATTTTAATTTTATTATTGTTATACGGTTTAGTAAAGGTGAAAGTGAAATTCACAGTGAGTGAGAATTCGCTTGGATATATATTTTTTCTAGAAAATCATAAGCTATACTCAGGAGTTCGATTATCTCATGTTAACATGCAAGTTTTGATAAACTGATTTATTATACGATTGCTCTTGTATTTCTAAAAGCAAACAATCTTAAAACCCGACTCAAATACATATATGTGTTTCCAAAAGCAAACAAACTTAAAAATCGACTTATACACGGATGACGTACCAAAGTATCGGCAAAAACATCTTTAGTTTTTACAATAGTTTCATTGTGAGAATTCGCTTCGATATATATTTTTTCTAGAAAATCATGAGCTGCAATTAGAAGTCCGATCATCTTAAGTTAGCATGCAAGTTTTTAAAGAGCTTTCTTACATGACTCCTCCTGCATTTCCAAAAGCGAACAAATTTAAAACCCGACTCAAATACATATCCGTATTTCTAAAAACGAAAGAACTTACAAACTGACTCGTACACGGATGACGTACCAAAGTACCGGCAAAAACATCTTAAATTTTTATAATAGTAGATAAATATAGCCATGTTTAGATCCCACCCCAAAATTTTACTCCCTGTCACATCGATCATTTGAACATCTGCATGAACATGAATATTAAATACAGGCTAAAAATAACCAATTGTATAGATTTTGATTAATTTACTAGACGAATCTTTTAAGCCTAATTACTCCATTATTTGACAATGTGGTGCTACAGTAAACATTTGCTAATGACGGATTAATTAGGCTTAATAAATTCGTCTCGCGGTGTACTGACGGATTCTATAACTAGTTTTTTTTATTAGTGCCCGAACACCCTATGCGGCACCCTATATAATACCCGACACGCCAAAACTTTACACCATGATCTAAACACCTCTTTTATATATATATATATATATATATATATATATATATATATATATATATATATATGTATATATATATATATATATATATATATATATATATGTATGTATGTATGTATGTATGTATGTTTGAATTACTCTACCATGGTTGTGTTTAGATCCCGCGTGAAAAGTTTCGGCGTGTCATATTGAATATACATACACACATTTAAAATATTAAACGTAGACTAATAACAAAACAAATTACAAATTTCGTCTATGAATTGCGGGATGAATTTATTAAACCTAATTAATCCGTCATTAACAAATGTTTACTGTAGCACCATATTATCAAATTATAGAGCAATTAGGCTTAAATGATTCGTCTCGTAATATGTATAATTAGTTTTGGTGAAAATTTTACCAGAGCCTGCGCCACCAACTCTACTGTACTGAGCAGAGTAGAGCTGCAGAGCACGGTAAAAAAGAATTCACAAGTACTGATTGTACTGTGCCAACAACTCCACTGTCCACTCACTTTTTCTTCACCCAGGAGACGAAATTTCCCCAAGAGCCAAGAAGCGGAGAAGCTGAGGCCGGCGATGAGCTCATGGTGGTCGTGGCGGAGCCTCTTCTCCTCCTTGGCCAACGCCAACGGAGGGGGCAGCAATGCCGATGCTTCCTCCGGATCCGGCACCTCCTCCTCCCCTCCCGTCCATGAAGCTCAACAAGCAGCAGCTCGCCGGCGAAGCGCTCGCACCAAGAAGCCTCCCGAGGAAGAAGCAGCAGGATCGCAGCCGCAGCCCAAGACTCGTCCTTCACCGGCGTCCAAGGCGTCCAAGGCGAAGGTGCTGCTGCTGCTCGGCGACGGCGAGCCCAAGAAGAAGCCAGCCCCGAACCCGACCCCGACTCAGAAGCGTAGCAACAAGAGAAAGCGGTCGTGGTCCAGGGCCGACGAGCTCAGGATTCTGGAGGCCATGGCCAACCACGCCAACGCCCATGGCGGCGCTCTGCCGGAGGCCTCCGATCTCTTTGCCGCCCTTGCCAGCAGCCTCGAGAGAGGAGATGCCGACCTGCCCAAGCTCGCCGACAAGGTCCACAAGCTCAAGAGATGGTATGACAATGCACGCCTGCCGCAGCGCTGCCCGACTGACGATGACGACGATACGCGTCGATTGTTCCAGCTATGTGGGAAGGTTTGGGGTCCCCCTTCAACTGTGCTGCGCACGAGCCCACGCCAACGCCACAAGGTAGTAGGAGTACTTGTCCAAGGAAATGGTGCCAATCCCCAGCCGGCAGCAGCACTCAAGGTCAAGGAGAAGAGAGTCAGGAGGGAGTTATCTGAGCTTTATGTCCTGTATCCTTGTCTCGCCCAGGAGGTCAAGGCGCATGCTAACGAATACGGCGAGCTCATCGGAACAGCCTTTCAGTTCATCGGCGATGACGAAGCTCGATGTTACGACGACAGGTACAGGAAGATGTTGGTGGACAAGCTTAACATGAAGAAGGAACATGCCGACGTAACAAAGTCCCTGCTGTGCACTCTTGCAGGCTACATAAATTAGGTGATACATGGGGCATTCTGCGGTATGGTTAACCTGCTATGCTAGGCACCTTTTGTCTTAATGTGATTGGTAGTGGTTTGTTTGGTACCAAGAGGCCCTCTTTTGTGGAATGGTCTAATGCTCCTACCTGCTAGTTAGTCCGTGACTTTAGTCTGAATGTCTGGCTCTATTTAGACATATGTCTCTATGTATATATGGAACTAATGTTATGCCACATGTTTATAAAGTAGTAGTAAGTTAACTTCTAGTATTATCTGTCCAGTGATGCATCTGATGCCAAGTTCATGCATGGAAAAAAAATGGGGAAAGAAACGTTCCCTAGCTATTTTTTGAAACTTAGTGCCAAATGATGCTAATTCTTTGGACTGAGATATTGTGTATATGTTCAAGCCGATGTTTTAGGAAAAGCTGAAGCTGCTATTCCTCATACTGTCATACAGGTCATCTGAAGCAGAGCAGAGTCTACATATCTGTTTTGCCTGGAATATACCCCTGCAGAAACAATCTGCAAATCTGAACAATGTTACTCCTACTACTAAAAAAAAATGATATCTGAGCAAATATGTTAGTTCAGAGCTGTACATCAGCATAGAAGCAGAATTATGCAGCTGGCATTGGCATTCTTGGGAAAGCTTAACTCTGTTCCAGAGCATCCATTCAAAGATTTCTTTGCCCTCTTTTTTTTTTTTTAAAAAAAAGAGTTCTTTGCATGTTGTCCCTAGGGAGGCTTCACTAATTGTTTTCTCCTTATATGTTGGTTTTTATTATTCAGTCTTTATGATGTTGCCTAGTTGTTTGCTCTCATCGAAAGAATATTGTAATAAGTGGTTGTAGCTTCTTTGAAGCAAAGGCCGGGATTTATTCCATTATCTAAAAAAAAGGGAGGAAACAAGGTATGCAACATCTGAATTCTATATTTGTGTTGTGCTAGCTAGAAAATACCTGGAACAATGAGTTTTCTGTTCCTATGACGCGAGGAAACATGGATCAGTCAGTGGTATACTGGTATGATGAAGGGTTTTAACTAATTATCATTCTTTACTATTCAGATGTAAGAAAAAAAAAACAATATGACCACCTGCCCCTTTTCTCTTCTTTGTATGAAGCACATGCAGTACGACGTCATCTTCTTGAATAATAGTAGAAGAAAACATCAGAATTATAAAATTCTAGGAAAACCCCCACAGATTGGAATTTGTTAAGAGATTGCCTTCTGGATTGAGAAACCTCCTGTCCATTGCAGGTCTGGTGATTTGTAAATGAATATTGAGCTTGAAATGTACATTGTGTAGGATGAAAGAAAATATTTACCGCTCATGTCCCATGTTCAACTGAAACATGTGTGCATGGGACACTTCAGTCTTTTGGTTGCTGATGAGATCGTTCTTGCATGAAAATGCAGTAAAAAGTATTTTCTGGACTGCAAGGGTTCCTTTGAACTGAAGTCGGCAGTAATATGAGATGTGAATGCTCCTTCTATCCGCAGTAATTTGGGATGTGAATGCTCCTTTTCTGAACTACAATGAATTTGTAACAATTCTACCTTCATGTTCAATTGTTCATTCGCTAAACCTTTCTGGTTGCTGTTTTATTCACCATATATCATAGTGAAAAAAAATCTTGGTGTCATCGAGGGGCACAATATCTGTGGATTGGGCACGATATATGTGGAAGGGGGATTCTTCAGAAGATCATGAACTTTGATATTATCCATCTCAATTCCCATTCTGGTAGTTGTTCAAGCTGACTCGATTGAATGAAAGTATTAGCGTTGCAGCAAAGTGATATTGGCTTGCAGTCCTCGATCAGGATCGCATTAGCTAGAGTTGCAGCATCGACAGGTTCGGACAGAACAATTGAGGGTGTTGATGTTGCCCTTGATGTTTTGCATGCCCTTGATGTGTTGATGTTGCCCTTGATGTTAAGTGGTAGGTTATAATACATCTTTCAATTCTACCAAATTTCATTGCAAAATACAACTTATATATAGTGATTGTTGTCGATTCGATAACTGCGTCACGTCAAAAGACGTGGTTCTCTCAACAGTGATTGAAAGTAAAGACAATTATATTGCTTAGTAAAAATTTTTCAGATCCCCTGTTACATGGCCCTAGGGGGCTACTTATTCCACTATTAAAGACTCCCCTTTAGGGTTTAGGCTTTGCAGGGGAATTTACATGGTTGCCCTTATGATAGGAACATTATTATGGGCGTACAATGTCTTTTGCTTGCATGGGCTCCTAATGGCCCAATCCTTGGCGAAGCCTCCGGAAGGCGCGACGGCCCGCCGGTGAGATTTGATACTCGGTGAAAACCATGCCCTTCGCGGTCTTCGGCCGTGAGTCCCTCGGCAAGGTCCATCTTCGGCGAAGCTTGTATACTTCATGCCAGGGCTTTCGCCATGTGGCTTTCACCCATGTAGTCTCCTCGGCCTTCGCCGCTTGCCTCCGGCTTGTGCCCTCGCTTATACCCTTGGTTTCGGTAGGCCCGGCCAAAGGTCCTCGTGGTATACCTCCAACAGAGATTATAAATAAAGAGATACCAAATTTCAGTAAAAAAAATAACTTATATACTGAGAAGAAAAGGAAGGAAATAATGTTAAGAGATAAGATGAATAACTTTTAAGTTCGGGTTGTTAAATAAACCAAAGATTTGTTCAATGGTAGTTTGAGAGAGTAAAGTAGACCTTTTTAATGTTTCGAATTGCAATTGAGTTATGAGTTTACCAGCAACATTTTTGCTGAAAATATCCAAATAGACTTATTCCGTGAAGTTGTTGACACCCGTTAACAAATTTCTGAAACACTGATTGACATTGTTTGTAAGTATTCTAATTTTTCTTGTCGTCTTATGATTTTCAAGATGTTATGTGATGTTGATGGCTAAAACTAGCCAATCATTAAATTATAAATTATCAAAAGATGTAGAGGTACGGTGAGTATATTTGGACTTTGGAGTGGTGGGTTATTTATTTAGGACTTTTACAGTATATTCTACTTGAAGTATATATTATTTAGGTCTTTTATCTTATCTTCCTCCCAATTATTTTGCAGTATAAATTGAATACGGTATATTTGTCTTTTTATCTTTTTGTGTGGGAGGGTAATTTTGTAAATTAGTGTTTCATCGCTTAGTTGGATCTGGTCGATATGCGCCCAATCAAAGCCAATCTGCACGCATGGGTGACCGCTGCCGCTGACTGCCTCTGCAAATCAGCCCCGCCGCCATCGGGAACCGATTCGATTTCCCTCCTCCTTTTCTTCTCTTGTGTCTTTTCCGTCACCCAAAACCCTAATTCTTCCAAAAATCCCCAAATCCTCCATTGACGGATCGGGTCTGTGGGAGGCGGTGGGCAGGCGGAGTTGCATAAGGGCGTCGGGGACATGAGATGTATCGAGAAGAAGTGCTATCACGCGGATGACGAGATCCAGAAAAAAAAACAACCGATGGAAAATTAATCCCAATGGAAATATATCTCTATTTAATATGACTAAACAACCATTTTCAGTTTTTTAACAAATACCAAATCTATCCTATCATATACTACAAGTATGCAGTACAATGTACCGTAAAAGTCCTCATTTATTAGCCTAATTGTCTCCACAATTTGCTGGACAAAATCCATCAAATTTCCAAAAGAAAAAGAAAAAAAATCGTCTCCAAAAAAAAAAGAAAATAGAGAAGCGCGGCCATCACCTCTCCTCGGGAGTCGGCGTAGATTCTCTAACGTGCCAGAGCAAAGTCAGAGGCTGACTTACCATCCAAGGGAATGCCCAGGTTCAGCTATCAGAGCAAGTCTATTCACATTGGCTTGTTGGCCCAACGCCCAAATAAAGCCCAATTAGGGGCTGTTTGGTTTACAGGGACTTATTCACATCGGATGTTTGGATACTAATTTAGAGTATTAAACATACACTAATTACAAAACCCATTCCATAAGCTTGGACTAATTCGCGAGACGAATCTTTTGAGTCTAATTACGTCATGATTTTGACAATGTGATGCTACAGTAAACTTTTGATAATTATGGATTAATTAGGCTTAAAAAATTCGTCTCGCGGATTAGCTCTCATTTATGAAATTAGTTTTTTTATTAGTCTATGTTTAATACTTTAAATTAGCGTCCAAACATCCGATATGACATGGGCTAAAAAGTTTTAGCCCCAGACTCCTCTGCCGCCACTAGAGGCCATTTTAGCGCCGGAACAGAGCACGCAGAATATTTTTGGCGGGGAACGCGTGCGTAGCGCGGCTTGGCGACGAGGAAAGGGCAAAGTTATTTTTGGCTGCTCTTCTGTTTGATGAAACTGTTGGCAACTTTTTTGACAAGTTGACAAGCACGATCGCAGCACCTTAAGCCTTGCGGTGATCCTAGAGTCGCCAACCACCTCGATCTAGCAAAAAGCTAAACCTAGATGGGTTTTGATAACTAAACCGGCTAGCGGAGCCGATTCCTAGATAACTACCCGTCTCGTGGGCAAAACGAAAGGTTTTCAGGACAAACCTACAAAGGGATGTCGCACTCTCGCAGCGGCGGCGAACGGTTTACGGCGCAAACCGACAAAGATGGACAAACTAAGAGAAAACTAAAAGCAATATGAAAAACGATTCGATTGATTGATTGTAGATTGGTTTTTTACAATGAACCGGCCATGTCCCTTATATAGGCCATGTCCCTCTACAGGCCCTCCTCCACGTCCAACTCGGGGTAGAAACCAAAGGAAACACGAAATATGCATTACCGAGCAAGGAAACTTCGAGACCCGACGAAACAGAGTCGGACTCGGACCTGCCGGTCAGACTGGCCACACACCGCCGGTTTGACCGGCCCTAAACCGGCGGTCTGACCGCCCAACACACGGCGGTCAGACCGGCCCACTCGGAGGAAACCGGTAGACTTCCAAATTTTGGCAATATCTCCTATTTTAATCCTAGGTGCCAAATTTGGGTGTAAACACATGCCCCCCCTGCCTTTTTTATGAACAACGTGAATCTAAAAGCATAGAACATGTTTTTGGTCTTAGGACGATAACCCAATTACCGGCCATAGCACCTCCTAAGCATCTTGCCAAACGCTTGGGAAGTATTTCTTCAAGTATTTCCCGTTGATTGCTCGCTGAAAAAGCTCCCCTTGAAGTGTCTCCAAAAAGTACGCGTTCCCTCGAACAATGCCGCACACTTGATAAGGACCTTCCCAACTAGGAGACCACTTACCGAACTCCTTGGATCGAGTATCCAAAGGCAAAA